GAGGCGCTTATGAATTTGTTTTTTTTATATTATTTTTGATTTCTGTGGGAGGCGTCCCACACTGCGGACTCTCCGTGCGTGCGGGCGTTTCTTCGGGCGGCGGCGAGTGTGTGATCGTGCGGCCCGTGCGTTTGTCGTTCCGGCTTTCGTTTTTGATTGTCGCTGTTGTTTGCGGGGTGCCTGCTGGGGGCGCGGGCGGTGCCTTTTTTTGTGTCGTTGCTTTTATTTTCTACTGTCTGCTTCTTCCCCACAATTTTCTCCCCCCAACACACGCGGAAGAAAAGAGATTAAACCCGCTACTCGTTGCGGTGCGCGTTGAAAGGCTCTGCAATCACCACCAGCACCACACAAACACACACATAACCGTTGCGGCCTGAGCGAATCTACCGCAAGGAGGGAAGAGAGAGAGAGAGACAGAGCAGCGACAACTCAACATGCCCCGGTATCTGTTTTCTTCTGCGGTGCTGCCTATCCTTTGCGTGTTGTTGATATGCTGCAGCAGTGGGGCCGCGGCCGATGGTAAAAAGGATGTTGTGGACCCATTTCAAGGGACGACAAAAATGGCTGGTGTTGAGTGGAAAGAGGCTGCTGGAGGTGTGACTTCCTTTCGTGCCCCCAGTCTTGTGGAGGTGGACGGTGAGGTGTTTGCCATTGCTGGGGCTCAGGTTAAGGACGACTGCAAATCTGGCTGTTTCACTGGTATTGCGTCAAAACAGCTCAAGAAAGTTGCTGGTGTTACAGCGGTGGCGTTGGCGATGGATGCGAGTCCGTTTTACACACAGGTGCTAAAGGGAGGCGAGACGGACGCCGTAGAGATCAATGACACAGTGCGGCCAACAACACTTGTAAGTGGCAAAAACATCTACATGCTGCTTGGAAAATACGACAGAAAAGCGTCTGCAGCCTCGGTTCCCAACGCAAAACACCGGGGGCTTTTTCTGGTGAGGGGGAATGTCAGTGAAGACGGTGGAACAAGGAAAATCCAATGGTATACGCCCCATGCAGTGAATACTGGGTCTATGGGTCTTCGTCAATCCTGGACGCAGTTATCCGGTGGCGGAGGGACGGGCATTGTGATGGAGGATGGCACGCTTGTGTTCCCCATGCAGGCCACAAATGAGAATGGAGAGGACGTCTTGCTGTCCATGCGTTTGGAACCGTCCAAGGACAAATGGGAGGTTTCGTTGCGGACGAAGGAAGCGCACTGCAAAGAGCCATCCATCGTGGAGTGGGGAGGAGATCAAAAACTTCTTATGATGACTCCATGCAAGGATGGCTATTACGACGTGTACAGGGCTTTTGGGGCAGGCACAAGTTTGTACCCCGTGGGTGAGCCAATTTCTCGCGTGTGGGGCACCTCACTGAAGCGTCAAGGGGAGGGCGCGCGAAGTGGCTTCATCACTGCAACCATCGATGGAATGAAGGTGATGCTGCTCACCACGCCGGTGTATTCGGAGGAGAAGGGAAAGGGCCGGCTACATCTTTGGGTGACAGACAATGCCCGTGTGCACGACGTTGGGCCGGTATCCAGTGAAACTGATGACGCCGCCGCCAGCTCCCTGCTGTACAGAGCCGAGAAGAAGGAGCTGATTTTACTGTACGAGAATAAGAAGAGCGGAGATTCATACAGTCTTGTCGCCATGAACCTGACTGAGCAGCTGGAGCGGATAAAGAGCGTGGTGAAAGCCTGGAAAGATATGGACGCCGCACTAAAAAGCTGCGCTTCCACTGGTACTGTTGACCCGCGGATAAAGAATGTGTGCAAAGGTGCTGTTCCCACCAAAGGGCTGGCTGGCTTTTGGTCCAACAGTTTGAAAGGGAATTTATGGAAGGACGAGTACCTCGGAGTGGACGCAACGGTGCATGGTGGGAATGTGGCAGGCACGGAGGGGGTTGTGAGGTTCCGAGGCGCAGGAGCGGGGGCGGAGTGGCCGGTGGGCAAACTGGGGCAGAACCAGCCGTACTACTTTGCGAACAACGAGTTCACTCTTGTGGCGACGGTGATGATTAACGCGGTGCCGGAGGCAGAGGGTCCTGTTCCTTTGATGGGTGTGAGGATGAACGACAATGCCAGCACTGTGCTTTTGGGTCTGTCGTACACGAAGGACAAGAAGTGGGTAGTGACTGTCAACGGAAAGCCTCGGGCGTTATCAGAAGAAGATGGTACGTGGCAGCCTGGCACAACGCACCAGGTGGCACTTCAAATGGATTGGAATGAGGTGTATGTGTACGTTGACGGGAACAATATATACGGCGGCGATGAAGATGAGGAGGACACCGTTTCTGACGAGTTGGGAGCACTGTTTGAGTCGCGCCGGATCTCGCACTTCTACCTTGGCGGCGGCGTTACGGCGAAGGGCACAGCGACCAGCCACGATATGACGGTGGCCAGCGTCCTGCTGTACACCGAGGCAGTTGGCCGTGATGAGATGGCGAGTCTGAAAGCGAGCAAAGCCACTCTTGCAGAACTGGCTGCGGGGAAAGACACAGAGAAGGAGGTTGCCTCGGTGCCCACTGGCGTCGGCGTGCACACGGGTGGTCCAAGCGAAAAGGACAGTACTGATAATAATTTGGTGCATGGAGGGCATTCACCGACGGATCCGGGGGCTGGGAGTGCATCTCTCCCTGCCAAGGAGCAGCCGGCAGCTTCGCCACCATCTTCCGCACCCAATCCCTCAGTAAAAGAAAAAGGAGAGCCACTGCAGGGAAAGGAGCATGCACCAGCGGGGCAGAAGGACGCAGCACAAACAACGCCGCAACGACCGTCAGCGGTCGCCCCTGAGGCCCATCACGGTGGGGATGCTGCTGGAGGATCTCATGCAAACCAGACCTTGAACGGAGCGGGAGAGGGGGAAAAGAAGAAGGGAGAAGAGCCACGTGGCAATGGTACGTCAGGGCCTCCGCTAGCCCCAGCATCTCCATCAGCGGACGTGAACTCACCCGCTGCACCGGGTAAACATGAGCCGGCTGCCGCGGCGCCTCTCTCTGGAAACAGCTCTGCTAATTTGAGCAACACTACTGGCGCGAAGCCCAACGGAGGAAAGAGCGACGGCACGGTGCGTGGGTGTGTGCCTCGGTTGTTGCTGATTGCCCTGCTGGGGCTGTGCGGCGCGACGGTACTCTACTGACTGAAGGGGAGAGCGGACGTGCGACACCTCAAATAATAAGTTCCACAGCACTACTCGTCGCATCTCTTTTTATTCTCTTTTTTTTCTTCGGTGTTTAAGTTTTCTTTTAATTATTTTTTGTTTTAATCAATTTTTTTTTAAATTATTTTTAATCAATATTTTAATTGGAACTTTTTCATGTAGAATTTTTCTTTGGGATAAATCACTGCGGCTCACTTGTAGTTTGCGCCGTGCCCGTCACTGTCGCAGCGTGTCTTTGTGTCCTGCTTGCTGCCGCTACCGGCTGTGTTGGTGACGTGCCCACTTTTCTATTTTTACTCCTTCCTGCTAGAGGCACCGGGAGTCCACGGCGACGATTGTTTTAGTTCTACGCTGCGATGGCGCGGGAGTGGCGGGGCGTCCGGCGGCCGCTTTGAAGGCGCTCGCTGCGGAGCGAGAGAATGTGCGGGGTGTGCGGCGTGTCTCGCTGCGAGTGTGTGGGACACGATGCCGATTGGTGAGGACGAAGGAGGAAGAGCAGACTGTGCGGGGAGCATGGATACGCCCGGTCCTTCGCGTTGCAGCTGTGTAGGTGCGCTGTACGGCTGGCGTCTCCTCTGCGTGTCTTTGCCCTCGCGTGATGAGGGCGTCGTGCTTCGTCTGCGCTGTGCAGTCTGCTGCGGTGCGTGTGCGCGGCACTTTTGTTGTTGTGCTCCTTGCTCCTCATACGTGTCTATGCACTTTGGGGTGTGGAGGGCAAATGAGGTGTGCGGGGGACGATGGTGTGGCTGCGCGGTGTCGGTGTTTCCACCTCGCAGTGCCGGCACCGCCTGCATGGGTGGCATGCCGTGGCTGACCGTGCAGAGTACATCATTGCGTCTCCGCCGCTTACTGCAGAAGAAGCAGGCGGTGGGCGATCATCTTGCGAGAGGCGTTGGGGGTTGATGGGGTGCCGAAAGAGCGGCGGTGAGGATGCCCTGCGGCGAAGCAGGAGCGGAATGCGGTGAGGCAAGGCGTGCAGCGATGGTGGGTGGCGGCGAGGACCCCACTGCCGCTGTGGAGTGTCGTGTGCGTTGTTGTGTGGGCAGTGTCGGCCACTCTCCATTTTTTTGTGTGTGGTTGGGAATGTAGCCCTGTGGGAGGGAGTTTTTGTTTTACTTTGGCGGAGGATTATTTTTGGCGGCTGCGTCCTCCAGAGCCCGTGGCCGGGTGGATTGTGAGCCGCCCTGCCCGGTGCTATTTTGTTGCTTTTCCGCGCCGCCCGCAGGCGTCTCCCACGCTGGCGGGCACACCCCTCCTCCTCCTGTGTGTGTGTGTGTGCCTTATTGCCCTCTCTTGCTCTCTCTCCCCCTTGCTAGACTGTGCGTGTGTGTGTGAGCGCTGCAGCGACAAGAGTGGGGATGACTGGCCGTGTGCCGTTGGTGTGCGCCCTCTACGTGTTGTGTTGCTGCTGCGGCGGTGTCGTGTGCGTGGGGCGGCGGCTTCCTGCACGGCTGAACATCGCCGGAGAGCGGACGGGTGGAGTTGCAGGCAGCTCCTCTGGTGAGGCTGACCAACCTGTTGCGGTGCGGTGGTGGTGCAGTGCCCGCGCTGCCGTTTGTCTGCCAGGGTGGGGGCGGGTGTTGTGCCACCGGAGGGGGTCCACGCGGCGGGTTCACGGTGGGCCGCTCAGAGGAGCCTCGTGAACTGCACGCTCTTTCGCTGCTGGGCGGTGGAGGCTCAGCGGGAGTGGAAGGAGTGTGGGATGCTTCGTGCCGTCCTTGAGGCCCAGCCCCCATGAGCTTCGTCAGGAGGAGGCGAAACCAAAAAGGCCGCGCTGCCGTCTGACTTCCGTCAGCCCACACAGTGCGTAGGTGTGGGCCCAAAGACGTTGTTGTTGTTGTTGCTTTCTTTGGAGGTATTTTATTGTGAATTTCCGGTGGCGGAGGACGGTTGGGCTGCAGGTTGCTGCGGCGGCGCCGGCACGGTGAGGCAGTTCAGT